CCCCCCCCCCCCCAATAATTACAGGTAAAAACTAGTCCTCTACTCACCTGGAAGATGTCAAACTGTTTCTGTAAGAGCTGGTCAAGTTCTTCGTTACAAAGTTCCTGGTCTTGTAGTGGGAACGAGTCTAGAAGAAGCATGGCTGCATTTTCCCTCACATGACAGTTAGCCACCTATTAATGGTGAAACAATACAACTATTCCTAGGACATGTATATAGTATAACAATCCTTCAATACTTAACATACAACATTTACTGCAAGACGAAGTTTATTTGACCTATTTGAAAAATATCAAGCGTTAAAAGTGAATTCGCTATTTTCCATCATATATAAAGAAATGATGTCCATCGTGTGAAGGTTATGTGACACTAAAACACGTCAGGTTGATCATTGTAGCTGACCACTGACACTGACCTTGAGTGACCGCCACAGCAGGGGACCGTAGAGCCTCAGCAACATGCTGTCCACACCACTGTGTTTCCTTTGCTTGTGGAAGTAGCCGAGGAGCTGAGAAACCAGACAGTGTCGTTAGTCTTCATGTGTTAAATCAGTGGACTACATTCAGTCAAATTCATTTCATCCTAACATACATAATTGTTAATAAATTCAAAGTTTTTGTTACCTAAATTTTACAACGACCTGTTCCTTCATTAATTGGGAAAATAAAGCAATATTTCTATTGAATTTGGGAATATATTCCTAATTTTTTGGCCATTTTGGGTAAATAAGGCACTCATAAGCTAGCGGAAAAAGCCTGTATTTGACAGTAAAACTGAGCAAAAAAAAACATTGCTGAAATTGTTCGTTTTTCATTTGTATTGGATAGAATTATTTCCAAGTGATGTCTCAAAATATGTTATACAATGCATCTTTTAAATAAGATTTCAAATTTGTTTTTAACTCTGGTATATATTGAGCATGCTGGGTAAACTGACATATACTTTATAATAAAGCTTGTTTTCATAGTGTGGTTTTACACTTACACATCGCAGACCAGGAGCTAAAGACTTCTTCGCATGAACAGCATGGTCCATAACATTTTGTATGGCTGATTCCAATTTCTAAGAAACAAAATTTTATGAAGGTAAAATTTTTCAACAAAATGAACACCGGTAGTGTTACTAGATAACTGCCTGGGTGGAAAAACAAGCATTACTCACATGCAACATTGAAATAAACTCGGGCAAAAAATTCTCAAAATACCTGCTTCTTAAAATTGACTCCTCATTTTTTATTACACTTGCTTAATCCACACATAATGGTACCGTCAGCCATTCGGTAAACTTACTATTAGTCAATCAGTACTTTATTTTGCTATTTTTACAGCAAAATAAGTCTATGAAATTATCCATACCAAGTGTGTTCATGATACAGTGTCACCTGTCAAAACCAGACATGATTTAAACAGGTTCCAGTTTATACATTTAGTGATGTTAGGTATCAATATTTTGAGTAAATATGTACCTGGTAAGGCTAAAAAAAAAAAGATTACTTGGTTGTCAGGCCCGGGCGCATTTCATTTTAGGGCACCGCATTGCCGATTTTATCGTGAAAGTATTAAAAACAAATATGTGAATGGGCCAACCACCGTCTTTAAAAAAATCCGGAAAATTAGTCCGCATTTTGTTTTTACTCGTTAGTCACCCAAGTCCCGAAAACATTTGAATAAAGATAAGGATTGATAAACAGGCAAGCGTTAAAATGATTATGACTTATTAGTCTTGTGTACAAATGGCGCTAATTTCGGTACAAATAAGGAATGGGGGTGGGGGGGTTCGTGATTCTCTTCTGGAACATCGTGGGGGGATTTTCAGTGGCTTGCTCTATGACAGGTCTCTACACAACTATAAAAAGACCAGGTAATGCCCACAATGAACGTTTTACAAACTACACAAAAAAACAAAAAAAAACTCGTCTCGTTTTTGCCATGTAAAATGATGGAAAAAAACCCAAAAAACTGCCGCATTTCTTTTGAAAAAATTGGCCTGAGAACCAAGTAATTAATTTTATTTGGGCTAAGTTTATATACTTTCAAATAAAGCACTGATGTAAGAACAGAAAATATTCAACTTCAATGTTTAGGGATCACTATGCATTAACAATAATTTACAATGAAATATCAACAGATCGCCTATTTTTGTTTTCTGGATAAGAAAGGGTCTGGATTAGACAAGTTATAATGAAGCCAGTATATACAGAGATCTGGATAAGAAAGGGCATGGTTTAGACAGGTTATATTTTAGCTTGTATAGACAGGGATTTGGAAAAGACAGGGGCCTGGTTAGGTCAGGTTATAGTATTGCAGCTTGTACAATATGATATGAATGCAGTGATTGGATTTCTGCATAAATCCATATCTGCAAAACAGCTGAGATGTTTTGGGCTGCAATATTTGACAACACTCGCCAACAAGTTTCCTTATAAACGCTATTTTTAACATTTTCAACTTGACTACATAGACTCACCTCCAGTACAGGGCTGGTGGCTGTTTTAACTTGACTACATAGACTCACCTCCAGTACAGGGCCGGTGGCTGTTTGCCAGGCTCTGTTTTAACTTGACTACATAGACTCACCTCCAGTACAGGTCCGGTGGCTGTTTGCCAGGCTCTGTTTTAACTTGACTACATAGACTCACCTCCAGTACAGGTCCGGTGGCTGTTTGCCAGGCTCTGAAGTATATTTCTCCATATCTTTCCATCACATTTCTTTATTAAACAAAAACATGTAAACGAACATTTTAGTATGGAATGGATCCGCAAACTCAATCAAAATCTGAACTAAAAGAAAATTCGGAATAACTTTCATGTGTGTTCTTGGTAGGTATGTGGTCACCCAGTCCACACACAGTATGGCAAGTTAATTTTAGTCTCTGTTCTGTGCAGTTTTTACCATGTTTAGACAGATTCAAGAAAATTAGTTTGAAATGTTTAATATAAGTAAATATGTTAAATGTCTAGGATTGCCTGAGTCTCAAAGTTTAAGGCAAACCCACATAATTTTGATGCATAATTTTTAATCAGTAAGAAAATTCAGGTTTTACATACCTGTTAGAGATTGGCATGTGTGTCTTGATGATCTTGTGGAGACAGTCTGTCAGGTTTGGGTCCAGACTCATAACACAGCCGAGGAAACGACATCCCTACAAGTCATCGTAATATCATCTCATTTAAAAGAACATCAATGTACCATGTATTTCTGCTCATATAAATACAACTGAGTCGCATTAATCCAGCCACCACTAATCAAGTAATATTTGATAGCCACCCAGTGTTTTCAAGGCCAAATTCACTTCTTCTTTTTTTAAAAAAATTATCCTTATAACTTAGTTGTCACAGCAAGATTTCATTTTAAATCTAAAGCCACAGGTCACCATTATTTTTATTAGGAATAAACAGTTTCAATTCATTATATAAAAATGTATTTCAGAAACTATATTTCAATCTCTTCAATTTCCAAATAAGTTATTTCTCCTTCTTTCGTTCCAAAAAATCACAGGAAAATCACTGGATAATATCATCAATACAGAGTTATTTTGTTTATAGCTCTGATGACTGAGCTGAAAGTTTACCTCGTCAAACTTCAGAAAGGGAGTGTTGATGACACACTGACAGAGGAGGTCGCGGAGCATGTCACTGCTGGCGTCAGACATGTTGAAGAGTGACAAGGCAGTATGTAAAGACCACAGCCGTTTAATCTCTTTTTTCTGTGAAGAAAGGTTTACAGTATAAATATACAAATGGATAAAAAATGAACATGAAAGTGAGAAACAATAAATAATAAATTAATTAATTTCATCATCAAATCAATCTTAACATTTCTGCCACCCTGGGAAACAAGTTACATACTAGGCTTGTCCGTCATTTGATCCATTTGGCTGTTTAGGATATAAGATTAGTCCTTTAACAGGTTCCTTAGTGTAAAGGAACTCTTCAGTAATGGAGGTAAATATTACCGTTAATTAGGTAGTCTTTAACCTTAACATCCCAAAGTCTAACAACCTGATGTTACGACTCGGACACTTACAGTCTGAAGACTAAGGCTCCGCTGTAGGAGGTAAATAAGGGCATTGGTGATTAAATCCTCCTTGCCTGGCAGATTTTTTTGCCACCATTTCTCACACAGCACACAGATGTCATTCTTCAGTCTGTCGGCAGTCTCCGGCATAGGCAGCAGTAAACCTGTTGAACAGGACATTATATCACCTCAAATTTCTTATACGACACGTTACCACGTCAAATTTCTTATACGACACGTCACCATTTACACCATGTTAAATTTCTTATACGACACGTCACCATTTACACCATGTCAAATTTCTTATACGACACGTCACCACTTACACCATGTCAAATTTCTTATACCTTGTCACCTCAAACTTCTTAATCATGTTGTCTCAAATTTCTCATACCAAGTCACCTCATTCTTACATTGTTTCGTCTCAAATTTCTTACACCATGGATGCCATCTCAATTTTTTTCACCATATGATTTCAAATTTCTTATACCAAGTCACTCAAATTTCTTACATCAAGTCATCTCAAATTTCTTACACCATATCAAATCAAATTTATTACATCATGCCAACTCAAATCTCATATACCAAGTCACTTGAAATTCTTACACCAAGCCAACTCAAACCTTTTGGGATTCATCTCATTATTTATTTGTTTGTGTGTTTACTGTCCATCAACAAATTAAGGTCACTAAAATATCTTCTTCTGATAAACAAAGAGGCTGAGAGTCATAACAAAACACCAGCAGCTTGCTAGAAATGACTGATACAATATTTGAGAAAAGAAATGACCTTGTTTTATAACCAAGGACACAAGGTAGAAAATGTACAAACAATGGGTGCTATGAGACATACCCTTCACCCCCCCCCCCCCCCCCCCCCCCCCC